GCAGTGGCCGCAGCCGCCGGCGCTCCGTCCCTCCTCTTTGCCATAGGAACCTCACCGGCCACCGCCACACGCACCTCCCCGTCGTCTCCTCCTCCCCCTACCTCGTCTCCTACAACGCCGACATCGGCAAGTACGCCGCTGGTGCCGTCCTTCCGCCGAGTCTGCGACTCCTCTCATGCCTTCTCCTCCGATGCAGCAGACCCGCCGCCCACCACCTTCTCCTCCAACCCTACCCCTTCTCCTCCGACGATCGGCAACTACGCCGCCGGCGCCATCCGCCCCTTGAGTCCCGCGAGGACTCTCCTGCTTCCTCACACGAGACTCTGATGTAGGAGCCCCGCCGCACACGACCTCTCCTTCCTCCTCGCCGAGCTCCACGTACCGGCAGCCAGGCAACCAAGCCTTCTTACCTCCCCTGCTCACGGCCTCCCTCTAATGTGTCTTGCTGCCGCCGGCTTCCCCCATGCCGCCAACCTCCCCCAATCCCCCTTCCCCTGACATGGGTGTTCCCAATCTTAGTTCAAAATTCAGATCGTCATGTACACCGCCCCAATTCTCCCAGCTTCTTCATCCCTCTCCCTTCCTGTGTCTTTCTTTCTGTCCATCACGCTCTGTGTCTGATGCCCTGCTCGCTCGCTGTCACCCGTGCCGCGTGGTGGCCACTACCGCTGCCAGTACTACTAGCTCACCGTCAATGAATCGCGGAAGCCGCAACCTCTTCAAGCGTGCTCGTTCGCCGTACTTGCGACTGTCTGGAGGCCGCACACCCTGCGGGCATGCCCACTGCCCACCTGCCATCACCAGACCGCATGGAGGTCACACCCCATGTCGGCGCTCTCGCTCCAGAGCTGCACCGGATCCTCAGGAGCGCAATGCCACCATGTCGACAAACATGTGGACAGTACGTCGTGCTCTGCTCTGATTTGCTTCCATCCGAGCGCATTTCCACCTCCTCTGTCTTACTCCTGCTGATGCTTAACTGAGTCCTTGATGAGTTAGTTCATACTTCATAATTAAGTGAACTGCAGCTCGTGGTTGTAGATGAATGTGTGCACGAGACAAGAATCTTGGATTCTAATTTTATCCATGATGTTTGGACTTCTTGTACGTTTTGAAACTTTGTCTGTTATGTATGGGTTCTCTAAAGTACGTCATCTCCCTGAACATGAGCAGCATGTACTTTTTAGTGCTTACTTCAAACAGTTAGTATACAGATAAGTTCAGAAATTAGTTAGTGACAATAATCAAATCACTTGGCCGATAAGTGTTGAGGCGTGTACCATCGTTGTAGTTACCATGGTGAGAGTAAAGCACGAAGTTGGTAAGGATGGTGCTGGTTTATTCGTTATAGATAATCTAATTGTATCATGTATCCATAGCATCATTTATATATATTAATCATCGTTTTGTCTTCAAGTAGAGCACGATCTGCATACTACTGTTTTTAGCAAGGGGTACTTTGGTCCAAATATTGCAGCCGAAACTGCTTCACACACGATAAACTTTTGGACGATCTGTGCACGATTAAAGAATCCACCGGCCGTTGCTCTGCCGTGAACAAGATTGCACGGCTGGATTCAATCGTCGGCTGCAAATCGTCCAAATAATGTCGTCTGGATAGCACTGCTCTATTGCAGCTGGCGTCAGATGGATCAGAGGTAATGCAAGGAACACATTTATGCCAAATTTAAGTATAAATACTTTTGCAGGATCGACAACGATCTTAGTAAAACACTCATGGATCAGGAGCAAGCTTTAGTAGTATAGCATGATGTTGGAGCCTTTTGTCTAGACCTTTTGAACCAAGGACGGTAGATGACGCACTTTCAGATATTCTTGCTCGAATGTTTTGTGCTTGCATTGTTCCTCTGTAGTACTGAAAGATCCAATCTAAGACAAAGAAGCAAGAAATGCACTTAGGAGAAAGAAGACTTGAGCTGTGACTCTTGCCAGCAAGAATGCATAGATGGAAAGAAGTGTCTATTTTGGTTCTTGATTATTGTAACATGGCTCATTAAGCTGCTACATATCTGTTGAATTGGGTGTCATTTTGGAACTAATGTTTGTCGCTGTAATGTACAATGTATGGTCGAAAACTAATTACTGGTTTTGTTTTGTTTAAAGATATAGTATTTGATTGATCTGTGTGTTACTTTTGTTATGTTCCGTGTGAATCCAAGGATCTCAAAATGTCTTGTGCTTTCATCCTATATTGTTAGAAAATAATCACCTTCCACTCTTTAATTGACACTACATCACCCTAGCTTATTTAAGCACCACAAAGTATGTGCCGTTGTTCCATTTGCAATCAAGCGTGTAAATTTACTAATTTGCCTCATAGCAGCAGTATGGCCTCAACTTAAGAGGATACTTTACAGCATGTTGACTATTGAAACTATTCACTTTATTTTCACAACATCACAGTCATATCTGTAACATTATATACTATACAGAATTAGTCCATAGTGGCCCTCAACTTCTTGTTGCAAAAATTATCAAGAATATTGTCCAAGTTCTAAGTAACTACACTACTAATCTACAGTACATGTACACGGTGTCCAGTTTTGTCTTGGACATTTTGATTTAGAGAGAGCTCACCAGATTACTTTTTGCCATTGCATTTAAGAGCATATGTGATTTTTATGTTTTTAACCATATGAATTCAAATTGTCACCGTGGTAAAGGGGGACAAAACAAATTAGGTGTCTAAAAGGCTAAGGTGGAAAATGCTAGGGAGGAAAAGAAACCGAGGCTAGAAATAATATGTGTTTGTGTTTAGGGGTTCAAAGAAAGTGGCATCTAAAAAGTGAAACCCACGTTGTCACTTAATGTGTCACCATTCTTCAGCTCTAAACATCCATGGATGAGATTCATCAAAGTTGGAGGAAGTGATGGAGGGGCTAGAGGAAGAGTTGGTGACTGGAGAGAACAAATGTGAGGGAATGGAAGAGGAGATAAACAAATTAAGAGAAACAGAACCAAACGAGTATGTGGTAGGGATTCCACAAAATGCAATGAATTTTTTGTAATATATTCATATACATCTATTTTATTCCATAGCAACACACGGGCAAATTACTAGTAATTCATAAAAGGACTGCACTGAGAAGATAACGCAGCAGACTAGCGCATATGGCTGAAGTTGCATTGACTGAAGAAAAATAATGCTCGAACTTTCTGTGCTCAGGGAACCCATTCTCTGCATGCTCTGAAATAGATGTGCATCCATTGTTGCAAGATAGAAATACTGTAGTACAAGAGCCGTACTAATAGAACATGCACATAGTGTCGAAAGCCTGT